CTCCGGGAGCCCCCAGCCGGGCCCGCTTCCCCCGCACACCAAGCCTGCCAGCCGCTGACCTCTGGCTGCCCCGGCCTGGCACGGCTCCTCGCCCGCCTCTGCGCCCCGGCGCCGTCGCTCACGGGAAGTTGATTGACCGGACCGAGCGCTCGCCTGCGCGTCGGCAGGACAGGCGGAGGGGCAGCAGCAGCTGAGGAGCGCCGCGGGGGAGGGAGCGACCCAGCCCTCCGCGCTCGCCAGGCCCCAGCCCCGACCCGGACCGAGCCCCGCCTGCCGTCCGCCCCGCAGCGCGACCGCGACCGAAAGCAGAGAGAGGGCGTCTCGCGGAGGGCAGCCCCTGCCTCTGTCCCGGGAGATGCCCCGGCCCCGCCTCCTCGCCCGCCGCCCAGACCCGGCCACCCCGGCGGCGAGCGCTCACCTCAGGCTGCGCAGGCCGGGACGGCCCGGCCGAGCCCCCGGCCGCTGCGTGCGTCTCTGCCCCGGAGGAAAGATCCCAACGGCGCCTGGTACAAGTGGCCGAGGCCCCGAGCAGCGCCGAGAGCGGCGGCGGCAGCGGGAGCAGCCAACATCCGGGGCCGCGCACCCGGAACTACTTCCCGACCCTATTCCCCTCCCGCCTCCGCCCCCGCTGCCACCCCCGCCTCCCGCGACGTCGTGCGCCACCGGTCCGGCGTCACGTGGCGTCACGTATACTCCGCGGTCACGACTGCGAGCACGCACAGTGGATTCCTCCGCTGGGACAAGTAGTGCCCCGGGACTTTGGAGTGTGGGCGCAGGTCGAGTTGTCTAGCGGCCTGCAACTCTGAGGGACGGGGTTTCCGCCTGCCGGAGTGGCGGCTGGGCAATGGGGGCGGTTCTGTAGTCGGAAGGAGGCAGGAATCTACGGCCTTGGACCCTGTCCACGGATTCCAGAAGCGTCTTGCTCCTGGGGAGCGGTGTCTGGTGACCTTGCTCCCCTCCCCCCATCTCTCCCCGCCACCTCACCTTAACGCCCTGTACCTTTGCCTCCCCGGGAAACCGAACCCCTTTTCCAACTTGGCACATTGCATATTCTACAGGCTCCAACAAAGACACCGTCGACCTTCAGGACACTCAGAACTTCACAATTCCGGTTCTAGACCCATCTCTGCAGAAGCCTTTCCTGTCCTCGGGCTTAGTTTGCTTCTTAAAAAACATTTTGCTGGAATTCTAAAAACCCTTCTGACCTGATTGGGTCTTGCTATCAATAGGCGGAGGGATTAAGAGGGTAGTTCAGGAGACTTGTGAACTTTGGAATTTGCTTATACGTCAGTCTTTCCTGATTCTTTCTGTAAACTCTTAACACTGCTAAACTACCCTGTGATTGCACACTTAATTACATTCGGACCTATTATTTGTTCTTGCTTCATTCGCATGAGTCACATATATAGTAACAAGCACATTTAAACTCTGCATAGGGGCTCAGTGTGTGTATACTCGGATATTAATTGAGTGGCTGGGAGGAAAATGAGGCATTTGGATGAATTGGCTCCTGAAGTCTTGACGTAATCAGGAATCAGATAAGGGATCAGATACAGAACTTATAAAAGAGCTGACTACCCGAATCTTTCAGCAAACATTGAACACCTGCCTTTTGCCAAGCATTTCTAGGCACAGAGCAAAGCAGTAGTCTATCTTTCTATGCTCCAGCAAGATTCTAAAGATTGAAGATATTCACTCGTTCTTCCAAAAAATATTTCCCAATCACTATCTATTATGGTTGTTAGATACTATCATTGCTTGGGATGTATCCGTGAGCAAAAGGCAGGAATACCCTTCTCTTTGGGACTTTCATGTGTAGAAAGATGATAAGCCTAAGAAAACTAGGCTCTTAGAAGGTGTTTAGTGCTAAAAATAAATCAAGGAATGAAGAAATCTGGAAAAGGAATTTGGAGGCCTTTTAAGATGAACCATTTATTCATCAATAAAATGTTCATTTGCGCAACCAATATTCAGCCAAACTGTGTGTTAAGTGCTAGGTTTCAGCAGCAAATAAACCAAAGTTCTGACCCGATAGGCTCCCAGACTAGTGGCGACCACAGGCCAAGTGTTTTCACATTGCTTCTCATTCTGGAGGTCTATGCTCATCTTTACAGCTGATGAAACGAGGCTCAGAAGAGTTAAACATTTGAACCAGGATTCAAACTCAAACTCTCTGTCTGGCTTCACCTCAGCTCAGCAGCGAGAGAGAGCCCATATTTTTGTTCTTTATGCCTCACCTCGTTTGTCAAGTAAACGTAATCATCAATCTAGTGAATGACCTTAGGCCTGCACTGAGGCAAAAGGGAAGGTGAGCAGAAATATTTAGGAGGAGAAAGAACTTATCAAAAAAATCTAGACATGTGGAGCAAAGGAGGGATAGCCCAGACTATTTAGTGGCCAAGAAATGAAGGTAGGTAGGTAGGTTCATAATACGGTTTTCCATGTTGTGCAGTTTTACAAAATCAGTTTTTAAATAGAGCTATCAGGGACAGCCTAACTCATATGGTAACTTTAACCAGAAACTTGAAAGAGGTGAAGGAGTGGGTTGGGGTGGAAAAAAGAGTGTCCCAGGCAGAAAGAAGAGCTAATGAAAAGGCCCTGAGGTGAAACATTCCTGAAAGTATTAGAAATGGTGAAGAAGCCAGGATCCTATAATAGGGTGAGCAAATGAGAGAGGAATGGGGGACAATAAGTCAGAGAGCGGGGCTTGCTTTTTGTTGTAAGGCTCTTAGCTAAAATGGAAGCACTACCAGACTTTCTGAAGAGAGAAGTGATATGATCTGATTCATGTGCTCAAACGGTCAGGCTGCTACTGTGCTAAGTGTAAACATGTAAGAGAGAACAGTGATGAAAGCTGAGAGCTCCAGTATCCAGGTGTGACAGCTTGGACCAGGCTGGTCGCAGTGCACAGGATAAATAACATGCAGTCTCTATACTTTAAGAATTCATAGTCTACTAGGAAGCAAACACACTTGTTTACTTCCTATGTACCTATGTCAAGTTATTAGTTTCTCTTTGTCTCTGTTTTCTTGTCCATTAAATGGAAGCAATAATCATAACTATCTAGCAAAGGAGACGGCGCACAGAGCACCATAAAATAAAGCCCCGAAAGATAGTGATTATTAATTATAAGATCAAGCGTCGGCACAGAGCAGTTCTGAGTGGGGAGGTGGGAGAGGGTGGGAGAGAGTGATAGGGAACGTGTGGAGCAGGAAAGCCCTTACAGAGAAGAGAGAAGTACACATCTCAGGGCAGAGCCTTAAGAAAAATAGATTGCTCAGAGCAATCAAGTAGAGGTTTCATTGTTTTTTGTTGTAGGCAATCATTTTTCCCGACTCATCTGGATTATAATTCCCCTGGAAAAGGGCCTCCCTGGTGGCACAGGAGTTAAAATATCAAGCTGTCACCAGCCACTGCAGCATGCATGATTCCATCCTTGGCCAGGGAGCTGACCCACATGGCACAGCAGACCTCTCATGTCTCTCCTCTCAGCAGAGGAAATTTCAGTATTTCAGTTGATTTGCCTTTTCTGCCCCCCACTCTGTCTCTGGTGAATCCTCTCTCTCTCTCTCTCTCTCTCTCTCTCTCTCTCTCACACACACACACACACACACACACACACACACACACACCCCTCTGGCTTATACCCCAGTTCTTGTATGCATAGAGAACATAAATAAATAAATAAATTCCCTGGAAAAAACACAACCTGAACTGGATTACAATAGTCCTACCCAAATCTTGACTTGGCACTGGCAGTTTTGCAACAACAGAGTGTTCAACCCTTCATGTGACCCACAGCCACTTAGACAAATGGGGTTTACCCAATCGATCCTTCCTGCTTTGTTTATTGTAAGAGGAAAGCAGAAAATGAGAAGTGAATTTTAAATGAGCCAAGACACGTAAGAGGGAGTGAGAAAAACATGAGAATCCCTTCTATCACTCCCAGCCCTGGAAGAACCTTCCAGATTCCTGGGTATCTTTATATAATACTTTATATTTCATGTTTTAGATGGAGTGGGGAAAGTTATACAAAGGCCACAGAAAAGCTCTCAGCAACACTAACTAGTATTAATGACAACAGTTGGGTGTTGGCTACTATGTACACTTAAACAGCATTCAGTAATCATCTGTCAAGTGCCTAGTCTACACCAGGCATTGAGCTCAAAACTAGCAAATCAAAGAGAATAAGTATTCTACCTTTCATATGCTCCTGGACTTCTAGAGTAGTAGTTACATAGATTATCCCAACAATCTGGTAGCAATTTGTACTTGTGCCATGGAAACTGAGAAAGAATGCTGCATTCTTACAGGTGGGGTTCAGGCTAAATCCAAATAAATAAGTAGGGAGTTGGCATGTAGAAACAGAAGCAAGGCTGGGAATAGAAAAAGAAATTTGGGAATAGAGGAAGATACTTGGGTGGATATGAGAAAAGCAGAAACCACAGAGATTAAGTCTTGTATGTGGTCATTAAACACTTTAGGGTGATGGGAGTAAATAATCATGAGGGAGACCATACGACTCATCTACCAATTGAATTCCTGTCTGCTGGGATCTTGGTGTTAACTTCAGATTATGTCAGTAAGGCAAAATGGGATCTTTCTCAAATACGACTGCTTAGACATTCTCAGTAGAAAGAAGTGGCTTAGAACACTTCTCCCTACTTTTTTTTTTTCCAACTTCTGGCAATGAATTTGCATTAGTGCACTTACCTCCCCCCACACCTACTCCCATTCATTTTCTTTGTAACCACGCAGCTCCAACCTTGGCTTACCTCCACTCTCAAAATCAACCAAGTTAATTAAATGCATAATGGAAGACACTGGTGCACTAAGACAGCTGAACAAACATTAACAAATGTGTAAATTGAATACAGTATTTATATTATGTGCAAGCAATAGTGTAGATGAAACTTGGGTGGTGCTAGGAAGAGTGAGTCAGAGGATGTTCAAACACAGTGAGATCAGAGCAGATCTCCTCTTTTCCAGTTAGTTAGCAGTATCTTTTGGAATGAAAGGAAAATGGTTAGCAGGAAAAAGCAGCCAAGGTTTGCAATCCAACAAAGGTAAAACTCTGAATACGAACGTGATAGTTGAGAAACAACTGTTTGATTTCAAGATGCGAAGTTATTGACGTACTTCTTGTCTAATAATTTAAAGAACCATTAATAAACTGAGGAGAGAATGGTGGGCAATGACTAATATTTACTGAGTGTTCCCTATGTATTGGGAACATAATGAGTTCCTTGCATGTTTTCATTTACTCCTTAGAGCAAAATGACAAGGTTGTCAGTTTAAGCTCCCCTTCAAAACTTTCTGAACCAGGGTCCTCCCTGGTGGTGTAGTGGGTTGGAGCGCTACACTGCAAAGCTAAGCCAAGCTGTGGCCACCTCACTGTGAGTTCGATCCCTGCCCCAGAGGTGACCCACATGGCACAGCAGGCCTCTCCTGTCTCACCCACTGCTCACCTCAGCAATGTACTTTGTCCATCTGTCTGTTCTGCTCCCCACTCTGTTTCTGGTGAATCCTCTCGCCACCCCTGCACCTCTGTCTTGTACCCCACTTCTGTATGTT